CTTGTCGCTTATGGTCATGAAAGGAATCATTTGAATTGCTGGCGCCGACATCACATGACGAGAGGTGTCCCATTCTAATACCAGGCCTCTCTGAAAAAATCTGTGTGGCCGTGCTATTACGTCATATTGCCAAGGAAAACGGAAGATTTTTTCTGGTTAAGTGGTTCGCGCGTCACACTTGGAATTTTTCATAGGAAAACAATAGCCACCTCCTTTACAAAAGCTACACGGAAATCTGACGGCTCTCCTGAATCCCAATAACTCTTCGAAGATTACTTTTTTGAGGCATCCTCCTCGAATACGGTACACATACGAGAGCGCGTCCGAAACTAAGGTCTACGTAATTCACAGGAAAGTCAAGAAAAGTTTGTGATCCAGTGGAACGGGAGACAGTTGCACTTACGCACGACGTAAGCGCCCAAGGCTATACACTTGAACATACCCATAGATGAGTTTCGATCGGCGCCATCCCCTGGTCTTTCAGGGTGTCCGGGAGAACGGATGAGAACCAGACAGTGTGGTAGTGTGACGGGGAGGAAGATCTACAGTACGCAAACAGCAACATTGCTTTTCTCATCTAAGCTAATACTAAAAAGAATGCTGAGATATGGGCAAAAGTCGAACCCCAGGCGGAGTCGAACCCGCACCTCACGCTTTCCGGGCGGGTGCCGTTACGCCACCAGGGCCACTTTTACCCTCCCATATAAATTGTTGCTGGCCGGCTCTGTTGAACATGATTATGGGCACGCGATTTGAGGCCGAAACAAGCACTGCGTCGCGATAGGTTGGTGAGCAGAATCTGCAAAACTAGTGAGTAGGAGGCAAACCATAGTTTCGACCGCTAATCTACCGGTATCCAGTTCGAGTCTGATCCTCAGTGGTCTTGATTTCCACGCCTCCTAGAATGCAGCCGTCATGAGCGTAGCCATGTGAAATAGATTTGACCGTAATTTCAATCTTCTTTCCTTCGTCAGCCTGGAAAAGTCTAGATTCAACTTATGAACATGTTGCACTGCGTTTCATCGCATACCTCAATCCAGTAGTTGCAGAACATCGAACTCGTCCCTCACACCACCAAAACCAAGTCTTTTGACGATGATCTGCTTGCGCTCTGTCGCTTTCAATGTATCTCCGCATCCAGACGGCTACAAAATGCGGCATAAGTGAATGTTTCGCTTCGAACATCTCCTAACTTACTCGCTTGTCGCAAAGTGCGCCACCATAGCCGCTTGGACAAATACATTCAGAGCAGTTTCGTGGATGAGGGAATCCTCCATTTTGGCACTTCGCTGAGGTCGCATTTGGGCACTTTGCTGAACAGAAACGCTGTCCAGCCCCTTCCACATGTCAGACTTAACATGGTCCCCTTACCTTTGCAATTGTAGTGATCGTTAATCATAGACTTATCAATGAACGAAATGATCTGCGAACCCATCGACTCCTGGTACCTTGTATCATTGGCTACCATTGTGGGTTTCTTGTTGTGAGAAGCGCTGAATAATCACAATGTCTCGTATCGCCCTAATTCACAGCATGCTGAGATTTATATTCACCTGGCTGCTCCTTAATGCGTAATGCTGCCGTAATCCAGAAGGTTAATATCACTGAACAACGAGGCGTTTCGAAAACAGACGATCGGCAAGCTGAAACACCACTTCATGGATGTCTTCAAGCCCGGTCTTGGATACTGCACCAAGACCAAGCTCTCTACCTCAAGCACGATGCTCCGCCAGTCTTTATCCATGAAAAAACCGGTCCTACGCTCTCTCCGTACCGCTCGTCGACGCCGAGATCGACCGTCTCATGGCACAGAACGTCATCTCCGCCGTCGATCACTCTCGATGGGCTGCGCCAATCGTCGTTGTGAGAAAGGCCAATGGTATCCATTCGACTCCGCGGCCCACCGCGGAGGACGTTTTTAAGGAGCTCAATGGCGGAACCGTCTTCTCGCGAATCGACTCGCCGACGCTTTTACTAAGGTCGAAGTCGCATGGACGAACTCAGGAGAGCTCCTCACCATCAACACACAACAGGAGCACTCTACAGATACAATCGTCTACCGTTTGGAGTCAAGTCAGCTCCTGGCATCTTCCAGCAGATCATCGACTCTATGATCGCTGGACTCAACGGCGTTGCTGCCTACCTCAACGGTCATGTACGTCACGCGCAACAATGCCAATGCTGACAGCCCTATTTTCGAGGCAGGCTATCCGGACTACGGCTGTCCGCCGTCCGCATTCGACAAATGCACTTCGTGAATGTTACAACGCTCACCTATTTCGAAAACGTCTCACTGATTGCCCGACGCCGACCCGATCCAAAGAAGATCGACGCTGTCTCCAGGATGCCAACACCGAAGGATACCGCCCAGGTCCGGTCATTCCTCGGACTTATTAATCACTACGGAGCCATTCGTTCCAGAGATACATTGCGCCAGCTTCGCCACACGCTCGACGCACTAGAAGCTCCGTTCAACTGGAACTCCGAATGCGAAGCCGCTTTCGAACGCGCCAAGGAAGTGCTCGCTTCGGACCTGCTCCTAGCTCACTACGACCCCAAGTTGCCCATCATCCGGCGACGCTTCAGGACTATGGCATGAAGCAGTTTTTCTCATCGCGGTATCCAAGGACGAACACGCAGAAAGCTGTCTACCACGGCAGTCGCTCTCTCACCACGGCTGAGAAGAGTTAAGGCCAAGTGGAAAAGAAGGTCTGGCGCTCGTTTACGCTGTCCGGAATTCATCGCTAATAGTCTACTAGCGCCCGCATTCACCTTGCTAACGGACCACAAGCCACTTCTGGCAATATTCGGATCAAAGAAGGGAGTTCCGGCCTACTCCGCGAACCGACTGCAACGATGGAGACTTACAATGCTCGCCTACGACTTCGACATCGAGTACCGAAACACTGCTATCTTTCGGACAAGCTGACGCACTGTCTCGTCTCATGCAAATCCACCAGAAGAAAGAACGCAACTTTGCGACGGAAACGTGAGCCGTTACCAGTCATACTGCAAGGCAGCGTTGCCACTTCCTAACAGCTGCTAGTACTATACGTGTTTCCGTTCATTTAGTTTCATTTTTTACATATGGCCTCTCAACAGCTGGGCTTGAAGAGACCATTGCAACAATACGGAGATACGACCACTACGCAGCGAACTCTCGGCACACACCCTAGGATGCCTGCTCTTTGGAAGCGATCGTCATACCGCTGTACTCCACGCCGTCTGTCCATGAAAATAGCTCACCAAGCGACATCCCAAGGAAACCGAATGAAAGCCCTTCGCTGCTGTCAATAATGTCTTTAGGGACGAGAATCAGCGAGCACGTGCGAGAACTCGTGCCGGCCGCCTGCAACGATTGCCAAGAAGCCGCCAAGTCGCCAGTCAAGAATACGCTCTGTTCTTGGCCTCGTTCGGATGCGCCATGGAGCCGGATCCACATCGACTTTGCCGGCCCAATCGACGGAATGTCGTACCTGGTGATCGTCGACGCGTTCTCCAATTGGCACCCAAAAGTCGGGGGAGACAGCAGAGTCACCAGCGCGCCGCTCGAAACTAGGTCACGCAGCGCGGGACTTGTTTCGCGTGGCGCGGCGGTGACTTGACCTGGCATTTTGCCAAGCTTCCGATTAAATAGGACAGTTTGCTAGGAGTGCGTTCTCTACTTTTTCTCATTTCATCTACCAAGAACATGCTCCAAACTTGCAAACATGTTTAAGGCATGTAAAAAGCCGCGCGCGATGACCAATTTCCGGACGCGAAGGCGGTGAGTCCTTGACGGCACACCCCCCCCAAAGTCATCTCCATATGACTGCGACCACAGCACCGCCACACTGAAGGAACTCTCGTCGTTTATTCGCTCAATTCGGATTCTCAGATAATGGAACTCAGTTCACCGCAGCCGAGATCAAGGCATGTTTTGCCAAGAAGAAAGGAATTGGATATCGGTCGCCCTGCCCTTCCACCCAGGTCCAGCTTGCCAAGCTGAAGCTTCGTGGAATCACATTTAAGCGCACACGCTCGAAGCCTGAGAAGCACGCGACCGACGAAAGCCCTTTCCAGGACAATCCTCTTTCACATTACCGAAAATTACGCTGTTGCACCGTATTCTCCAAACGGAGGTGTCCCGCAGAAACTTCCACGAGAGGACGCCTTCGCACCCGCTGGATCTTGCTGAAGCCGGACAACAAGGAAGAACCTGTTGCGGACACGAAAATGGGGAAAAGCAGTTCAACCGTCAATATGGAGCCAAACACAGGACGTTTCAACCTGGAGATAAGGTCTACGCTCGTGACTACAGATCCGGACAATCCAGATGGACTCAAGGACGGATCCTATGCCGACGTGGACGCACTGTGTACGACGTTCAAGTCAATGGATTCATATGGAGACGCCACGCCAACCAGCTAATTCCACGTGCATCGACGAAGCTACACAAGAGCTGATAAGCGCCTTCGACTTACCAATCAACGCCACATCGCCTTCATCTTCAACGACGACTTCGACAACATCTCAGTCTTCAATGGTTGCTGCTGCTCCAACAACAACGATACAGTGCCTCCAACCGCTGTCAGACGACGATCAAGCCGCACTCGTCGCCCGCCAGAATTCCTTCAGATTGACCCGTATGCTCACTCTTAAGAGGGAAGTGTGGTGGGAGACAGTGGACTCTTCGGATGTAGGTATGTGACTTGTTATATTAGGTTGTCGGAAAGTTCTCAGCGTTTTGTGCACCTATTTTTTGTACATTCACTGCTGATTAAAAACTCATTCTGCCTTGCTTCTCAGTAGCACATCCTGTAGAGAATTTCTTGCGCTATCTGATGGTATAATTGCCGTTTCACCCGTTGCCTAATAAACCCCCTTTTTTCAAGATTTTTCCAAGTATGTGAAAGGAGCACTTCGGACAAATTTTTTCTTGGACTATAAATTGGGGCGGCATCGCGACATGAAACCAGATCAACTAATTACACCAGGGCATGTGGGGCGGACCAATAGTGCGAGAGAAAGCAATAATGCGCCCATGGCCTCAAACAAATTTCGTTCTGGTAGGATTCAGCCTTGATAGGTAGAACCTCATAGCGTCGACTAAAGCAATATCTGACGAAGAGTTAGGGGGATTTTGGAGACTGACCCATCCCAAACAGTTCGAGAGATAGCAGAAGAGCTAGGCCTTGGCAAATCCACTGTTGCAGATGGTCTGGAACGCATTGGGAAGGTGAAAAAACTCGACAATTGGGTAGTTGCCCCACACAATCGGAGTGACCGGCAGGAATCGGCACGTCTCGAGGCTCCTTCTGCATTACTCTTTGCGCAGCAGAAGCGACCTGTTTTTGGGCCGAATTGTCACCTGTGAAGAAAAATGGGTCATGTATGGTAACAGAAGATGTTCCGGACGCTGTGGTTCGGATTTTCGACGAACCACCGAGGTAATTTTCAAAGCCGAACCCTCACAAAAAAGATTCTGGTCACGGTTTGGTGGTCATCGGCTGGTGTGATCCACTATACTTTTTATCACCAGGCCAAACCATCACAGCAGAACCCTACTGTGAAGAAATCGACGAATTGTACCGAAAATTTTGTCAGATGCAGCCAACACTTATCAAAAGAAAGGGTCCGATTCCTTTGCATGACAACGCCCGCCCACACGTTTCACAAATCACTATCCATAAATTGAACGAATTGGGGGTTGAAGTTCTACCTCAACCGCCATATTCTTCAGACCTTTCGCCAACCGACTATCACCTTTTCTAACATTTTCAGAACTCCCTTGCTGGAAAATACTTCATCAATCAGGACCAGGCAAAAAAGCCTTAGTGGATTTCGTGTGAATTTTCGACCACCCAGTTTTACTTTGATGGGATTTCTTGATTGCTGTCACATTGGCAAAAGTGTGCTGATTCGAATGGTGCCTATTTCGATTAAATCCGATGAGTATTAAAAAAGTTACGATCGTTTAAAGTGAAACACCCAAAACGCTGAGAACTTTCCGGACAACCTAATACTTAGGTCTGCCTGGATCCTTTGATCAGGCAGAGGAGTATATAAACGGGTTGTCCATGTTTTTACTATGTTGATACTACTATCTTCCAAATATTCCGC